TACCAAGAAATCCCTCTGCAGAGAGGAAAAGAAGAGTAATGCACATGGCACCGGGCGTCTCAACGCATAGTCCACTCTCGCCACCGCACCTGGTGCCCGGCACACACACACACACACACAACGGTTCAAGCAGAGCAAAAAAAACCTGCCTTACTACTGCTCCTACAACTCCGTTCACAACACCTAGATGAAGGGTGTCTCCAATAAACCAAAACACAAAAACACAGCGAGTGGACCTCCGTCCCTACATCGCCCAATGCTAATTATTGCCTAAACAAATGGAGAGGAGCGCTCCGCTATTAATAAGATTCCCGCTCCAACACTTCTTGGCAAGTCACGATCCTTGTTTATCCCTACACAGCACGCTTGCAGGAGTACAGCAGGTTCTTCAGCGCCTTCACCTCCTTTTCACTCTTAATGGCGTTCATCTTTGACTGGTAGTGCTGCAGAAACAGTTGTGTGTGCTGCTTCAGCATCTCCTCAAGCTCGCCATTCAGGATGGGATTGTTCAGCGTGAAGAAGCGGATCAGATAGTTCAGCTCCTGCACATACATGTAGAAGAACTTGTTCTTCGCCGCGCCGTACATGATGCTCAGGTCCTTGTGCACCAACAGGTACTCGTAGAACTTGACGTAATGCACCTTCACGTCGTCCAAGTACCCGTTTAGGCATGCGTACAGCGAGACGATGGCGCTCATAAAATACGAAGGCTGCTTCTGGTTGAACAGCGCCACGAACCGCGCGCCGCGAATCATGGGAATCGTCTGCACCTGCTGCCCACCCACGGAGTCGGCAGCCAGCTTGCGGTACTCAGCAAGGATGCCCTTCAGCTTGCCGGCAACGCCCTTCATCGCCACGTTCTGGGCGGAGGAGCCCACACGCGACACGGATAGACCAATGTTCACCGCGGGCCGCTGGCCGCCTGTGAACAGCTTCGTGTCAAGGTAGATCTGCCCGTCCGTGATGGAAATCACGTTAGTCACAATGTACGCCGTCACGTCATTGGAAAGCGTCTCCACGATGGGGAGGGCCGTCACGGAACCGCCACCCTTTCCGGGAGAAAGCATGGCGGCGCGCTCCAGCAGACGTGAGTGCAGGTAGAAGACGTCACCGGGGTACGCCTCACGCCCGGGCGGGCGACGCAGCAGCAGCGAAATCTGACGATACGCGACAGCCTGCTTGGAAAGGTCGTCGTACACGCACAGGCAGTGGCGTCCGCGGTTCATGAAGTACTCGCCCATTGTCACACCGGCGTACGGCGCGAGGTACTGGAGGCCAGCGGGTTCAGCGGCGGTGGCAGCCATGACAGTCGTGTACTTCAGCGCGCCGTACGACTGGAGGAGGCGGTGAATGCGCGCCACGTTGGAGCAACGCTGCCCAATAGAAACATAGATGGAGATGACTGCATTCTTCGAAAGGATCTGCTGGTTAATGCGCACCTGGTTGATGATCGTCGACACAGCAATGGACGTCTTGCCTGTCTGGCGGTCACCCACAATCAGCTCACGTTGGCCACGGCCAATGGGAATCATGGTGTCCACCGCCTTGAAACCAGTTAGCAGATTGTAGTTCACGGGCGACCGCGACACGATGTTCGGAGCGCCGGCGTCCACCCTACCGACTGTCTGCTCCAGCAGGCCGCGGCTGCGCGTGAACAGGCCAACGGGAACCTCGTGGCCAAGCGGGTTCACCACCTTGCCGAGCACGCCCGAACCCACAGGGATGTGCAGCAGCTGCCCTGTCGCCATCACCTTCTGCCCAGACTGCACCTCCGTGATGTTGTCCATCAAAATAATGCCGATGCGGCCATCCTTCTCCAGGTTGAACACAAGGCCCGCAGCGAACGTCGTCGGGTTCACCTGGATCTGAATGATGGTGTTGTAGGCCACTCCAGGGTTGCCAGGGGCCGGTATGAGCGTGGCAATGGTGCCGTCGATAGAGTGCACGTAGCCAATCATCTCTGTCACCTTGAAGAACGACTTCTGCCCCGCAGCAGCTGAGGCAGCAGCGGCGACTGGGGCAGCAGCCTTCGCGCCCCCTGCCGGGGGGGCTGTGGAGGCGAGGCGTGCCGGCAGAGCCGCAGCAAACTTGGAAACAAAACGGCGCATTCCTACCAAGAAATCCCTCTGCAGAGAGGAAAAGAAGAGTAATGCACATGGCACCGGGCGTCTCAACGCATAGTCCACTCTCGCCACCGCACCTGGTGCCCGGCACACACACACACACACACAACGGTTCAAGCAGAGCAAAAAAAACCTGCCTTACTACTGCTCCTACAACTCCGTTCACAACACCTAGATGAAGGGTGTCTCCAATAAACCAAAACACAAAAACACAGCGAGTGGACCTCCGTCCCTACATCGCCCAATGCTAATTATTGCCTAAACAAATGGAGAGGAGCGCTCCGCTATTAATAAGATTCCCGCTCCAACACTTCTTGGCAAGTCACGATCCTTGTTTATCCCTACACAGCACGCTTGCAGGAGTACAGCAGGTTCTTCAGCGCCTTCACCTCCTTTCACTCTTAATGGCGTT